ACTCACTTAATTATAAAGAAAAGACGAAAAAGAGGCGAGTGTGCGTTTATTGCAGAGATTTTTAGAATAAATAGGGTGGGTATTGTATTTACCTGTGCCGATTTGATTCTATCGATTTACGGCTCTTGAAAAAGCGCGTTGACCAGAAACGGTTCCTAACGGTGGCCAGCCTCTGCAGCCAATTTCCGTCACAAACAAGTAATTCTTTCGAGTGTTTACTGGTGGTGTATGTGTGCGTGTATGTGAGTGACGTGTGCGCAGGTCGGACACGACCACCTGCTCGAAAGTACAGCTGTCTTTTTATGTCTCGTCAAACACCGCTGCTCACTGTGTGACGCACTCCCCACTCACATCGTCGTCATTGTCGTTGTCGCTGTCAACTTTTGTACTCAGTTTGTCGTAATCTCGAACGAAACGCCTCGTGCTGTTCAGCTTCATACATATATGGGTGGTATGTGGAAACGGCCACAGGCTTCCCGCCATTTGACACTCACACAAGAGTGATAGTTTATCGGTGAGCGCGTATTCGTCACACTCTGTGATGCATTGCAGTTTGTCACCTGATTGATGCTGTACGCCGTCGTCGTTGCGTCTGCCATGGACAGACGGGCGCAGCTCTGGCAGCAGCTATTTGGTCTCAGCCGACGCCAGTTGATGCATCAGGATTGAGCCGAGCAGAGTGATTAATACATCCCTGACAGGCTATCCACTCGGGGTCCTCGAATTCTATGCATCATTACCATTCTCCGAACTGACACAGAAGTATTCTCAGGCTGCTTCGCAGATTCCATTACATTAATGACATCCATTGAAAGTTATGAGATCTCATTAGAGACTTGAGAACGAGGATTCTTTCAAAGGAGGATCCCTTGCCTGACTGTCATCAGTGCCGCTCGCTCACTCTCGCTCACGCTAGGGAACGACAATATCTGGTGACCATTCAGGTGGAAACCTGCCAATGTACGTTTGTCATCTCAGCCTTCTGTTATCTGATTCAACAATTATAATGACGTATGCCCAGTGCGTTCATCCAATTAGTGCTGAAGAACAGTCGGTCTCGCCGCATTCTTTGTTAGGGGCCGACCGGAGCTACCGCATTGGTTCGAGATGCCATAGGTGGAAATGAGAGGCAGGCGAGGAGTTCGCCGTCGCCGTCGTCGCGTCAGTGGTGCGTCAGATGCGGTGTACGTCGTCAGTGTCGGTGCGCGGACGTGGAATTGCGTGTGACACGGGAGTGATTGGCAACGACACGCACAGACGGATGAACGCAGCTAGCGAACCTGACACTCTGCCGCCTCGTATAAGACATCGCCAGTGGATGTGAATACGTCCGCCGACTGGCAATGCTCTTCCCTTTTCATTCATGCATCCATCCACTTCCAGAATCGCTTCGTCACCAGCGCATCTCGAAGGTTGAGAGGTTTCTGCGTTTCTGCGCTTCGTTTCCGCGAAGACCGTTCCTGTGCTTATTTGGAGCAATCTTCATGTCCAGAAACATGCTTCGTGCTCCACTAAGGGGATCCCACTCCGGTCAGTGTTAGAACGGAGTTGTGATTTTAGTTTTCGCTGCTACAGCCGTCTCTCCCGGAATTTTCTTCTGCTCTTACTACATTCATGGAGAGAGTGTCAAAGACAATACAAGCAAATCTACAACACTCAACAGTTTCTAGAACTCGAAGTCTTGTTGCAATATTGCACGTTGAACTTAATTTGACCAGAGTACTTCGAGTAAAACTAAGTTTTCGGAACAGGTCTGAACTTTTGGACCAACTCTGGATCATTTCCGATATCCGACTTTATTGAACGTTCCGCAGTACATCTTTCATACACATAAGAGCAATTGATGGGCAAGTGTGCCGTTTAATAACTGAAGAAGCTCGCGGAAAGTTCTAATCCCTATAAAAACTCGAAGGATTGGTGGGTACTATATGAGTTAGGCCACATTTGTCTCAATTCGCACTCTGAGTTGTCACCTTTCAGATTCTCTAGATTCTATAGCTAGCGCTTAGTCCTAACATGGGACATTTTGATTAGGAAATCTACTTTGAGTAGTCTACCAATCACAAAGGCTAGCTATCAGAATTAATTGTTGGAGAACTCCTTTTCATCCACAATATTTGGAAACTTTTCCAGTATGATCCACGAGGTATCATCATTGACCGGGGCATTACTATGACATGACTACGGAAAGCTGTTCCGTGCGCTGCTCTTACGTTCTATTTCTGTTATGGGTCAGATGAAGAGTATTCCTTCAGAATATAATGATACAGTGGTAATCGTTACTCAATATATATTCTGTCTTTCTCATTCAGCATGTCTTTCAAAATCCCGGAGATAGTTTTAGATTTTCAACGAGAGCTCTCAGCTGGAAATGATGTCAAGGGAGCATACTTACTTATCGAATCAGATTTTTTAGAATTTGTCTGTTGTCAGTTCACTTACTAGTGAGAACGTTTCATGTACTTCAGTTAAATTCTGCGAAGCATTTGCCTCCCTTCTCGTTGGTTTGTTGTTTAAGATGGAATCTTCACTCAAGACAATCTTACCATTGCTTTTTCTCAAAATCTTCTATATGAAGATTAGCCGTTATAGTCGGAATCCTTGGTAACGATAAGAATTAGTGACCATTTCAACTAAGATCTTAGCAACACGCACAAGTGCCGCAAACACTGCGAATGAGAGCTGGATGCACAACGCATTTCAGCGAAGCTTCAGCAAAACGTTATAATTAGTTAAATGCTCTCAATATTTTAACGAGCTAAGCTCTGTTTTGAAAACGGCCTTTATCATGGACTGGTGCTTTTCTCAAAACCCCTCGTTCGAATCTTTGTCTCATATTGCAGCAGGAAGGCGCGCGCCTACTATAATACAAAGCGCAGAGCCACCTTAAAGGCAGTACTGAGCTACCTCAAAAGAACTCACCCTCTTTAAAGAGTGAAATTGTAAGAGGGGTTACCCCAGATACTTGCTTCGAGGTTTAAACTTCCAAGCATCATCTTATATAAAGATAAACTGATTCTTAAACAAGCGCAGTATGAACCAAACTTTGATCGACGCTTCCAATTTTCTCCGACGAAGCCGAAATGCGAATTGTCACATACCAGATACGGCAGGGAGTTCGGAGGTAGCTCGTCTAGCGGGGTGGGCGGCGGTTATCAGGCGTCTTTGTGTGGAGCACTGAGTGACACATCATTTGCAAGCGAATCGGCTGTCATTTACACGTATATATCGTAGCTCCTTAGTCAATCATCTGTCATGAACCTGCCCTGCCAGCTTTCACTCGAGTTGGTCAGAAAGACAGCGTGAGCACAACGAGAGTGAGCGACGACGGCGACGCTGTCTTCACGGTTCCGCCCCTACTTCATCCGGCGACCGCCTCCTTTCCCTGTGCTGACTAGATGTTCCCATTTGATCATGTTCGTGACGCATTCAACTTTATTTTCATTCCGATCTTCGTTTTCGTTCACGTTCAGCGATCATTGGTAGAAACCTTATCTTCCCTTCCGATTGGCAGCTTCTTATTGCATCGCGAAGGCCAGCCGAATAAAGTGGTGCCCATGAAGACTGTCAGTCTAGCCAACATGGCAGTTAAGACGTACTCCGCCACCATAGGCGTGACGTGTCATAATAAGCAACTTTTTCTTGGCATACCAGCTAAAAACGTTCAATGAGTGTTCAAGTATTCTTTTCTTAATGTGAGCTCCATAGTTTGATGAGATCCTTCCAGCAAAAGCTGCCGAATCACTACCTTGAATCCTTTTAAGAAAATGGGATCAAGCGCATTCAACAGGGCTGGCAGAGAGTGAAACATTTGTGCTATAGTAATTCCTTTGCCTATCAAAAGCATATCTATAATTAATGAACCGTTATCCAAAAATGGCTAATTGGTCTGTTACACCTGCCTGAGGCGTAGTACAAAATTTTTGTGACTCAGGTATGCCTTTACTGAACGGAGAGAGCCTTTTCCAAAATTAGCTGCACCCACTCATTCTGCCTTTTACCACATACTCTTTTTCACTTTCTGAGTGTTGGTACATAAACCTCCTAGACATCCAAAAATTTGGTAAATATTTTTAAAAAAACATTCAGCAGCACGCAGGATATGGCTGAAAAGGTGATAATGTGAGAAATAAGAGTTATACCTTGTAATCAGAAGCGTTCTACATGAACCGTTTATAGGCTTCGCACTCGTCTTGAGGGCAGTGACCTTGCCAACTGGTTTTTACTACTTATTCACAAAAACGATGGAGGAAAACTGATGAACTCAGTAAGAACATCTCTCTTCCTAACAAATTAAGTGATTGTTCAATGTAACAGACCAGACGATGAAGCCATTTCTAACACTAAGGATCAATACTAAACCGTTTGAAAGAGGTCGCACGTACCTTCTTTCATATCATTTTCATAGTTTACTGTTTTTGTTGCGTTTGTGCACCTTTTGAGGCGGGCATACCACCCACACTAATCACCATTATTACTTCACATCCGATAGTATCCAAATTTTTGCTGAAGATGGTTTTTCAATAAGGTGAATATGACATTACAGATACTTTCTAGAAGTCACTCCAAAAAATCAAATGGTAAGGTTGATGGGTCGACTCCTCTCCTATCATATTGCTGGTCACAAATTTCCATAGCTCTTCCACTGCTTTTACAATTAATCCTTTCTCCCATCAGGCTTCACCCCACAGCCCATAGATGTCAAAATGAGTACTACTTCTATCCGACACAATCTTGTTCTGCAATTTATGCTTTTTGTCTATTCTCTCATTGATGCAAAATGTCAACTGCTGTTGTGGTCTTTTTCTTTCTCGCCGTGGCGTTCATATCCGCCTGTCGCGGCTTCACTTACTCAGAGTCAGATATTGTCACACCCTGTCATCATGATTGAAGTACATAAGTGTGCGCGATTACGGACAGCTGCCAATTATAAGCTCTAATGGACCTAATGACTCAGCTTATGGCACTCCATATCAGTTGAATCAGTGTCCTGAGCCATAATGGCCTCCTTAAGCGATCATCTTACACCTCATGCCAGTGTAACTTTCACATCATCAACGTATCAGAGGCCGATAATTGGCCGTCCGGCAACTGTAGTGACGGTTCTTCACAGACTGACAGGCACTTCCGTCGTGTTCTTCGTTCCCGTTCGTCGTGTTTTCAGACTGATTACGGGTCCGTGCGGCTAATCTGTCAATTTCAGATGGACCTGTCGCTTCTGCCTGAAGAAGTGCTTGTCAACGTGCTTCGACAGACGTCTCCAACCACAGTCATAGCCGCGAAACGGCTCAACAAGAAATTGCACAGAATTGTCGAACGAAATCATCTGGCTAAACCTCGTGTCGACGAATTCAAGTGAGTCATTTCGATGTGATCTATTTGGCTAAGGAGATGATTGGACGAGTTTCAGTGTCGAAATGCGAACATTTCATGAGCGAACACGTCCCATAGGTAGGTTGCAGTCGAAGAACGTTGGCACTGGTACTCTACATCGCCGAGTGGTTGTGACGATGAAAAGGAAAAACAAAAGGAGGCAGGTGGTACAAGAAGGAGTCGAAGGACCGAGTAACTTGACCGGAACACAACTTATAGGAGAAGAAATGAGAAAGGTGGTGGTTTCGTGGTGCTTATTATATCTAACTTGAAAGGTATAATAGTAGATTTAAGGTACTGCTGTACGGTAGATTGTCATTTGATGGAGTTACTGCAGATACAGAGTTTCTCAACATGCTCACAGCTAAATGGAATGATTTAAGGTAAGTCTAAAGCAATTAGGCCAGCTCAACTGACCAGACCTAACAAAGAGTGGCAGGCATAAGTGAATGGTCAATGCATCTAGTAAGAGTAGCTAATGTCTCATGCAAAGATAGATTGTTGCGATTCAGAATGTTTAGAGGAATAGTTGCACACTTATTAGAGAAGCCATGATGTACTTTTAAGGCTACATTTTGATCTGTTCGTTGCGATTTCACGCTTAAAGGTGTTGTCAAGAGTTATATTAAGTTCTAAGCTTGCTCAGTAGTCAAAAGGTTGCTGGATTGGCCCAACGTGGGGAAAGAATCAGTTACAACCAATGCGCTGAAGAATCTGAGAAGATGGCCCTTGACTTGTGTATTAAAATGACAACGTACACCTGACTCCCATGATGGATCGTGAAATCGTTGAAAGAGAAACTGAAGTAAAATTCAGAGAGGTAGGAGACTTTTTCTGAGCAGGCATCGATTTTGTCGGCACATTCGTCTCAATTTCAATATCAGACAGTTTGTATTTACTTGGACGATGATATTTTTATTTAAATACTCTTGTGCCGTGCGAGGTTGTTAGGTGGAACGATTTATTAATTTACTGGATTTACATCCGCTTGAGCGGTGGAACCCTGGCNTAAAATTCAGAGAGGTAGGAGACTTTTTCTGAGCAGGCATCGATTTTGTCGGCACATTCGTCTCAATTTCAATATCAGACAGTTTGTATTTACTTGGTCAATGATATTTTTATTTAAATACTCTTGTGCCGTGCGAGGTTGTTAGGTGGAACGATTTATTAATTCAATGGCCTAACGTTTCGACGCTATCGTCTTCTTCAGAGGCCAGGGTTCCACCGCTCAAGCGGATGTAAATCCAGTAAATTAATAAATCGTTCCACCTAACAACCTCGCACGGCTTAAGAGTATTTAAATAATAAACAACTGTGCCGAGGTTAAAGCAAGAGAGGAGTTGGAAATGATATTTTTTTTGCAAGCTTTATTTTGATTGACAGGAACCTACGGCAAAGTGCAACTGTATATACATCAATCACAGAGATTCTTAATGTCGTTTTCTTCTTGTATGATTAAATAGACAGTTTCTATGGACCATAGATAGGTTATCATTGATTCAGGAAGGATGATACGTAATTGATCCACCTGCGTGACAGCAGCTATGTATGTTACGCCAGTTCAACTGCCAATTAACGCTTATCATTGGAATAGCGTATAATACCTCCAGAATCATATCAGAGACACTTTTCTACATGGTCGTGCCAGAGAGGGGTTTGAGCGTATTTCTGTCAAAACGGTTTTCACTAGTAAAACTAGTACTGATGCTTGAGATGAAGATATGAGTTACTTACTCCTCATCTGAAGGAAGAACCCTCACACGCGGTGAACTTTCCATAGTGGAGTAGCCGCCTTTCAGCTTTCTTTTTTCCTATTGGTGCGTTTTATTCTTAGCCACTGCTAGGTATAGTGCGCGACTAAGACTAATTCAACTCCAAAAGTGAGAACTACAATATCTTTCGAAATGAACATAAAGTTCTTTCTATTCGAAAGGGTTCCTCAGGTGTTATTCATTCATTGCGCAAAAAGAGCGAAATCTGTGAGATCTGAACACGCGAAAGCAGAAATAAGCCATTCTCAGGGAATAGGTGGTACTAGACCCAGCTGAAGAATAAGAGCATGTAAGTCTAAATAGTATTTTTCACTATGTACACTTTTACAATCTCTCTGCATCAAAAGAGCACGTAACAATATTCCTTTAAGCCTCTCTTTAACGTAGTACTGTGCTACACTGTAATACTGAACAGCCACAAATCAATCTAAAAAAAAATATCATAGCCAACGCACAGAAATCAGTTTCCTCCACAAGTACTATTTTCAGATGCATCCATAGCCTATCCTTCACATTGTGCCGTCTTAAGATCACAGAGGAGCAGTTGCTGTCGCTTTTGACACGAAGTTCCTGCAACTCCCTCACACTTGATTTCTGCCATTTCGAACACGATATTGTTAGTGATAAGGTGGGTGAGCAGGTTTTGAACGATAGAACATTTCTAACAAAAGTGGTAGAAAGCTGCTATAAAAAAAATCAAAAAAAAAAGATTCGAACAATCGATAGGTGCTGGAAATGGGGGAGCCTATGATTGGGGTATTGTTTTTTCCTAGTTTCCTCAAGATGCCCTTATTTTCCTGGTTACTTTCGGTACAATCCTTAGCTCTGTTAAAATGGAAAGCCCGAATTGGGGCTCGGCTCTGAACAGCACACTGCGAAAGCTCTTAGTCCTTTGCCTCTAGGTACTATATAAAAGATACAGAGATAAGTCGTGGTGTCAATAAACACTGTTTTATGATGCACCCTGCATTCGACCTCTACTCAGAATCGTACTTATGGGTTGAATGCGTATGTGGCCTATACTTGTCTGACTCACGATGGCCAGCTTATGTGAAAGTCGGCGAACTCATCCTCCCAGGAGCCTGCTACTGGTAAAGCGACCCCGGGAAGTAGGCTTGCTTATCGTTAGTCTAAATGGATATCGATTTGGGACCGGTACCATAAGTGTGTGATAGTGCCACTTACCAGTACATCACATCTGCCCTTCCAAGCCCGCCCGGCATACATAAATAAGTCTACGGATAATAGGTTTTTCTTTTTCTTCTTCTTCTTCTTCTCCCTAGCGTTAATACCGCGCCATCGCAGGGTCCGCTGTTCTTGTCAGCCGTCTCCATTTCATTCTATCTACGGCATCTTCCACCGTCACCTTGCTTCCGCGAGGTCTTTCTTGATCACGTCCCGCCATCTCTTCTTTGGGGCTCCTCGTGGTCGCTTACCTTGAGCCACGAACTCTATTGCTTCCCTTATTGGATGGCTAAGTTGTCTTCTTAGTTCATGAACGCACCATCGCAGGCGCTACTCTCTCATCTTTAGTTGAACTGGGGCTGTTTGCATAGCCGTCCTGACATCTTCATTTCTGACCCGATCCGGCCGCGTCCAGCCGCAGGCCCAGCGGAGTGGAGACGGATAATAAGTTTTCCAGTTTATGAAATAGGCTCTGTGCTCTCATACGTTATGGCCACAAGAAACATATGTTGAGAAGCAGATCGGTAACGTCAGCAAACTCAAGAATAATCTGCCCATATGTTGAAAAGTCTATAATGTAATATGAGTTAAGTCGCGCTCCTTTTGTAGTTCGATTGTAAACGCAAAAAGAATTGAACCTCACAGAGAAACCTTTTCAGAGGAGGTCTCTACTCTCCACCATGAATTTTGAAAAGTTCACCTATACCAAATAGCTCAAAGGTACAGTTAACAATAATTTTGGATAATCCAGATTATGATGAAAAATGGGGGATAAGATGAAAATATAATAGTACGATGAAGACGAAGAAACTGCGTGAATCGGTGTTTGCAGAGTGAAAAAAGGCTTTAAAAAATCTTCAAAAAGGGGGGGGGGGGCTGGACGAGAATGAGACCAAAAAAATGAGGAAGAATGTTCGTTTGGACGAGCTATACAGTGTGTGTCATTGCGTGCGTGTGGGTTTTGGTGCAAATAGGTGGCTACTGCGAGCAAATTCAGTCACTCATAAGCATAAAATAACAAAAATCTTATAGTAGCAAAAAAAGCCACCTTTTCTAGCCTTTCGAAGTAAAAAATTAGAATAAGGATCGCAGCACCAAAAAGAATAACAAAGAATAGAAGAATGGGAGAAATAGATTGCCTTATCACTTGGCGATCAGCTGATTGAGTGTGGGGCTTAGAACGAGTACTGCAAACTGTATCACCTCGACACTCGTCGGACGTGACATCGATCTAGGGGCGGGAAGTCTGTGCGATCCTGTAAGGGGCTCTCACCATGCCTGTTGAGTTTTGGGGCTCGACAGCGTCCTCCCTTTTCCTGTTACCCTTGGGAGCCACTGGGAGCCACTGGGTTTGCCTAGAAAGAGAAACCAGGAACAGTTTTTATCGTGAGCTGTGCCTTTAAAGAAAACGATCCTCTAGTCTAGTGCACACCTTAGTCTTGGCAGAAAGGCTTAACTTTGTTTACCTAGCTTCGTACTTACTTCCACTTTTATCTGCAACAACGCGGAGACTGTGAAGGCCTAAATCCCACTAACACCCTGTCCTACTTTCGAATAGACGGTCCATTATATCAGAATTAATCACTTGAGCCATCCAGTATCGGCCCGATTGCGCAACAACAAAGACCCGTGCCATGTATTATAATTGGTAGCGTGATAGAATCGTTCTCAAATCCTCAATCGACTGGTTAACTCATAACCTCCTGAAGCACACTGTCGTGTCATCTCCTGAAAAACCTACTTACCTCTAGTCTTCAAACGTACAACTGCCTAACATCAGCAAAATTACGCGAAGGACCATGCCATGTTTCATCTGGGCGATCATGACGTGCTGAGTTGGACAAGAGTTAAAAGAAGGTGAAGTCGCTTGTCACTGTGAAATCGTCATGTATCGATCATCATCACCATCACCGTCATCATCGTGTGCAGGCAGGGGAGTGATGGTTCTGATGGCTGGCTGTCAGAGGCTTGTTAGTACGAAAACACATCATATGTGTCGGCGGCCGCAGGACAGACTGTCACACGTGTTGCCATGCGCGAGACAGCCATCCAGTCAGCAGCCCTTCACCTCTGCATACCTAGCTGTCGTTCAATGATAGCATCACAATCTGAGGGGTTTTCTGGAATTTATGCTCTCGAGATGGCAAAAAGCTTTCGAAAAAGCTCCTAGCTGTAGTAGGAGTTAGCCATTCACGAGTGGAAGATGACTTATCTGAGAGAATCTTCGCAAAATTCTCACAAACACCTTGGGAAAACGAGGCATCCTATAGACTTATTGAATTAGCAAACCCACTTCATAAGGGAAACCAAATATATCCGAAGTGAAAACAATTTTGAGCAAGATAATATAGCTTGGTTCGTTTCAAGTCAACAAACCTAAACAGTGTGTTAAGTCCAATCATACAACTTACTGCAAAAAAAAAATCTGGGTGGCGCTTCTACATGTGCATGTGCATCAACTATATTTTTTTAGGTAATTGCTGCCATTCCACAACTACGAACACTTCGTGTGCAACCAAGATCAAGCGTATTCCTTCGCAATCTGACGAACGTCACTTTAAGGAATTGGACATCAAAACCACCGTCTACGATAGCACTCTACAACTGCGTCACAAACATCACAGTGCATGGGATCTGCGATTTGATCAAAGTAGGCGCTTTACTCTTTTGCTATATACAGTATATCACGGAAAGAGTTAGGGCCTACTAGAATGGTTACGAGAGAAGTTTAGGAATTTTCTACACTTGTTTGAAGATGTCTCGGGTTTGTCGTAGCGATTTTAGGCACTTTTCACAATCATTTGATTACCGCTTTTTACCTCCATGTGCAACTATCAATGGACCCGGCATTTATATTGGAACCCTTTTATTCCTACTCCTTTATACGAGATTGACAAATGCCTTGTTGGCTAACGTTTTGGCGGATCCACCTCGTTCGGACCCTGAAACCTGGATTCAACTTATTAGATTACCCGACCCCATTCACACATTACAAAACCTTCGAATAACTACGCAACCCCAGTTGAATGAACTCTTGCCAGATAATTACTTCCTTTCACTTCAACTCATACCAACTGATCGTTCATGTACTTACACGAAATGGGTGCTGCAATCAAGTGAACGACTAAGGTCACTACCACTCGAACTGAAGCTCTCGAGAAACATGAATAGTTTGCGAAGGAAAATGGGTACGATGACCCGACATGCCCACCTTCCTACCACCGCGCAGCTGTGTATGTATCTAGTCACAAAAGTCCCAGTCATCTCATTTCACCCTTGGTGATTGACGACATCAGGGTCTCATCTTCACACAACATTCCTTCTACGCCGGGACATGTTTTTAAAAGCTCCCGCTCGCAAATCTTATACCGGCTAAACAAGATTAATGACTCCTTAGAAATGGGAGTGAAATTTTTTTTAAAGCTCACTGCAATACCTTCGAGTCATTGGTAGATGTGTAGCTTTCCCAACAGAGGCTCGTGAAGATAGCACTAGCGCAATGCGCTTCACTGTTTGCCTCCATGAACTAAACCAAATTAGCTAGCAATTACAAAAACTAACAGCCACCCCCTCGTTAGAACACATAAGCTCACATTCGTGCTCTACTTCATGTCTTATCCTCAATTTGACATACGTTCTAAACGCGTATTTATTCAGACTCTGAGTTTGGACGCCGTTGTGGATTGGGATTTCGGACGAGTCCTGCCGAGCGAAGGTAGCGACAGCCAGTTGTTCTCAATGATGTCAATATTCGGGCTGACAATTCTAATAAGCGACGATTTTCGTTCTCGGCGAGTTCAAATCGCTCGCGGTTGTTCTCGAATCGCGTTTAACCTCATTAAAGAGGAATCATTTACAAGCTGACGGCTGGCATCTTCCCATATGAACCTTTTTTGTATAATCGAGTACTGTACTGTGACAGCCTTTTCGTCATCGGTTCTGCTCAGTTTTATTTCGTTACATTGATTCCTGTTCTATTGCTTCTTTATAACTACGGGTAGAGCGTTTCATACAGGCAGATGTTCCAATTTACCACTGATTGAGAAATTTCTGACTGAACCCATGCATTAAACTCGAAAAAAACGTTCATAAAGAAGCCATTCCAAATACAAATAAAAAATGAGTCATACCTCTTTTTTCACAGTTTACACAATATCAACAATGAAAGGTAAAAGTGCTTACATCGCGGAGTGCAATAGAAGGAGCTGAGAGAAGCTTCAGGTGACAGGTCGACGGCGGCCTTTCTACCCAAACACTCAGCTGAGCAACCACTGCAGTCTTACGCTGTGAATTAAATCTCCCCCCTATTGCTTAGGAGCATGTGATCAGGTGCGATGAGTGCCCCACGCCATCCAGGAGAAAGATACAATCCGGGACCAAATACGTACTACATGAAACCATCACCAAAGACCAGGCATGCAAAAAACCATATTTCCTTCAAAATGACTTGTCTTTTATTAAAAACGAAAGATATAGGCACGATGAGCTACCATATTCCACAATAACAACTTTTGTGAACTTGGAACCATCTTGAGAATGCTTGACAGATCATCAGGCTGTTCGAAAGTAGGATAAGCCCTTACAGCATCACCTTTAAATAATCTTGATCACAATAAGTTTTGCGCATGTGCCGCTTTTGAAAAATCTGAGCCAAGAAATTGTTAAAATAGAGGGGTTGATCAAGACCTGTCGAAAGTGACAAAGAAATCAGGAAAACTCCATGTGCATTTCACTTAGACAACTTTTTTTTCTGGCGAGCTGAAGCACTGTGTGGTTGCAGACCCCGATTTCTGTTACAGACGCACGATTTCGGGGGGACGGTCAAGTCGTGCGTCCGAGGGCGCGTGGCAAATTGCATGGCAAAGTTCATACCTTTTCTGACGACTTTAGCGCCTATTATTTGGGCCCAATTTTGATGTATAGTAGAACAGTAGGATCAGTTGAGCTTACTAATCTATCCCACTTCAGATTTGGGCCCCAATGATAAACGCCGCATTCGTCCAATTTCGCCACGAACTTCGCCGCGCGCATCCTCGGACGCACGTTCGTACACATACCCCGTATGAAACTGGACCGGGTTAGAAACGAAGACGTGGGAAGATGGTCATGCAAGGAGCCTCTCCACAGTTGGAGACGAAGGAGCCTGCAATGTTACGGTCATTATTGCTGTTTTCATCAATTTCCCGATTCCATCTCGCTCCCAACTAACTCCATTTTCTTCACAATACTTTCTTGCATAGAAGATAGTATGAGGACAAAGTAGTCCTTCGTCAGAGCGATGGGGTACGAGGTTTCCCTAGATTGCTGGCCAAGGTAGACCTTAAACAAGGGCTCTCGTGCCGACGTTCCTAGTGGAGTTCACTCCTCGTTGGGTCATCATATCATTCCAGCATCCAATACCCCTCGTTATGGTTGCTCAACTTATATATATATTTCAAGGTCAGCATCAGCGAAGATGGAAAAAGGTCACCATTGGTATAATAATACTCGATCAACGCCTGATGTTCACAACGACAAACCTTGCTGCCTTATGGTAGAACTGAATTGACATCGTCGCCTAATCGTAAATGACCGACTGGTGCTGAAACCGTTCATGTTTTCACTGAACAAGCAAAAAGAGTGAGCACTGAATTAGAGCAGAAGAGATGAGTCGTGATAAACCTGTTCCTGAAACTAAAAGTTGTGGCCCAGTAACTCTTTTTTTGCATCTCTATCACCATTGCAAGTTTCTCCACAAGAAAGTTCTATTGCAGTGCAGTTGTGATCGGGTGTGGTGCGATTCACGCGTCAATATAATGAGGTCACCGGACGAGACACGCTATAACATGCCAACCATCGTAATGGGAGAAATAAGAGAATTTATGATACATAAGTAAAAAAATGACCAACTATGCACGTTTACAGAAGGATTGCGTTTTCTAGGATCAAAAAATTTGAAGTTGTTCTTGTTTTGAACGTTTGACAAGCAAATTGTTGACTTATGAAGTGAGACCTTAATTTCGAAAGAGCTTCTTTGCCATAGAAAAAAGCTTTGCAGTATGTCATGGTGAAGCCATAGACTACTGCAAATCTTATTTGGTCCATCTCAACAGAAGAGTACTGAAACGATGCTGCGTACGCGAAGAGCTCTAATGGGGACGTGCGCGAATCGCGCGCCCATCGATGTTATCTAGCGCGATGAAGCCGGAGTGCTATCGTATACGCATGGTCCAAGCACCGACTCCCTGATCGATATTAGCCCTAGTAACCAAGTCTTTCAGAAGGTCGGGGTTGGTTAGTCGGTAGACTCTCTGAAAGGATTGAAGGAGTAGTTGAACATTGGCTGACCCCACAATTTATCGTGAAGGACTCATACGCATTGAACCGCCAATGGGATTCTGAATGGGAACTGAATAAGGAACTGGTAAACTCCAAAAAATTTGTACTGCGGACTTTATGTCTGCATATCGCTTGGGTACTGCTCACCCCTTTTCAAACCCACATTAAAAAAATTGATGTCTGAAAAAGTTGAGAAAGTGCAGAGTTTTCACGTATATTCCTTTGAGATGGTTGATAGCTCGCTATTTTACATAGAGCGTCTCCAAAAATATGGTGCTAGTTCGCCGAAAATCAGGCGCTGATCATTTGATAATGGCTCCTCACAAGCTACTCAGAAAAAAATCAGTTTGGAAGTGTGCGATGTTTGGAGACCTCCCCATGCATAAACCCAATCATACAGGAGCCTGCACCTCCAGGCAATGTAAGTCCGCTCCAGAATATCCAGTCTAACAACCTGAACAATGGAAAAAATATGTTCATTAGCTGTTTTCCCTACCGTCTTAATGTGAAGGAAATAACCAAGGTCCAATCTCTGCCCACTCGACCCTTCCAATTTAGGCGACCTGTTAATCTACAAGCCGGAATTCGTCTCGCTCCATCGAATATTCCCTCTTATTGCCCAGACCGCTTGAATTTCGAGGAAATATTTGATCTCGGGTGGGTTAGCACCAACCGTTTCCGTACGTTAGGGGGACGATCTCGAGATGACATTACGGCAACACCAAGTGTAAATATAGCGAACGATTTGCACAGTCAGTGTTATGTTTTCCGTGAGCTGACTGCCGTGGCACAAGCACAATCGTATGCTCCACTGACAACTGCGACCGCTGATTGAGCTAGGTCCTTAAACGGCATAGTTCACGATGTTTGGAGAGGCGTGAAAGCCACGTGTCGCGCCGGCGGAGACGCCCTGCTCCTCGCTACACATTGGCATTGGGGTTCGCCGCTTAGGAGCGGCGTCACCGTCGGCGGAATGCCTGGTCGGGGGTCATACGCGGCGCTCGCTCTCGCCCCATTTGCCAAGCAGGATGTTACTTTCGCCCTTGCAGCCCCTACGCTGGTCATGCGCGTGCTACGCTCTACAACACGGAATTCCCTACGCACAGCCCAACTTCAACAATCGAACCAATTATTGCCTTCACGGCGTAACCGTCTACGATATCAAACTACCAATACAATATTATACGCATTCCTTCATGGGTACGCCAATAAAAAGTAAGAAATGGTGAAAAAGAAAATACGTCTCATATACATATATGCATAAAAGGAAAACATTAGATAAGTCAGCAATTAAAAAACTACGATAATATCCAGTAAACCTACGTATCAGGAAGCTCCCAATACGTTAGGTCGCACGGGGGGCAATGTGGCTTGGGACCGCTCGGCGCCTCTGTGTTTCATGCCCAGTCGATCACTACGCGACCAATCTATGCATCATACTTCCATCCTCGAGCGGGTGCGACGGCAGGACGACGGGCAATGGCGGCTGGATACGATGACGAGTGTAGACACACTGTCGGATGGTTTTATGTCATAGCACGCGTCCAGAATAACCTACGCGCAGGCGCCGACATGCTGTTCGCGCCGAGACCACCGCGCGCCCCACCAGGCGTGGCTCTTTGACAAGTGGGGCGCAAGCCACGACACCACGCTTTTCCACCCCTCGATCGATGTCACGTCAGACGGGTGTCTAGACAATACAGATTGCAGCTATTCGTTCTAAGATCCACGCAAAATCAGCTGATCGCCGAGTGGTGATGCGATATTTCTCTCCCACTCTTTTTTCCCTGTTACCCTTTTTGCTGCCGTGATCTCTTACTTAATTTCCTACTCCTAGAGGCTGTAAAAGGTGAGCTGTTTTGCAGTAGCTAGGGCTTTTCTGTTTACTTTTGCTTATCATTGAATGAATTCCCGCTTACCGTAGCCTGTTAATAGCTCGTCCAAACGCCCCGCTCTTCTTCATTTGTCAGCTCTCATCCTCTCCTGCCCCCTTTTTTTCGCCTTTTTTCACTTTGGAAACACCGATTCACGCAGTTTCTTCACACTCATCGCACTATTTTCGATCTTGTCTTCCATTTTTCCTCATAACCTGGATTACCCTAAATCATCGTGAACTGTGCCTTTAAGATGTCCGGCCACGCCCTTTTTTTTGGTGTGATCTGACGCACTCACGTTAAATCGGGTAACAGAATTCTCCCCGAATCCCGACGGCCTGCGGCAAACGCATCGAAAACTCCAGCTCATGAGCCCGGCACTGGTGAATAGGAGGGGGCCAATTCTACTCCACGACAACGCTCGGCCTCACGTCGCACAACTTACCCTGAGAAAAATGATGGAGCTAGGCT